ACTCAATACAATACACAACCCATAGTAAGTATGTAATAAACTCAGACATATTGGTCACACTCAATACAATACACAACTCATAGTAAGTATGTAATAAACTCAGACATATTGGTCACACTCAATACAATACACAACCCATAATATGTATGTAATAAACTCAGATATATTGGTCACACTCAATACAATACACAACCCATAGTAAGTATGTAATAAACTCAGATATATTGGTCACACTCAATACAATACACAACCCATAGTAAGTATGTAATAAACTCAGGCATATTGGTCACACTCAATACAATACACAACCCATAGTATGTATGTAATAAACTCAGTGTGTGTATTAACAATTTCTCTGTTAAATCAGTTGTATCGCAGGTATTCGTATTACGACTCACAAACTTATTAAAATATCTACCATTAAATGTGACAACTCACTTATCTCAAGTCAATGCACACTTTAACTGTACACAGACATTAGATTATTTCGCTCGATCTCATAACTAAATGAACTAAGTAAATATTTGTTGTAAGTTTGTCCTAAAGTATGTGGTTAAATAGGCGTCCCTGTAAAATCTATCAAACTAACCGCCAGATGGCGCTGTAAATATTTCGCTAGGCTCGTATAAATCGGGTGGGCCGTTTTAGCGATCAAATAATTTTGGTTTCGGTTTCCGAGCCGAGGCTTCCTAGGTTTTGACAAAGGTTCTCAGCGCTTCAGACAGAGGGAATGCATAAAAACTTCAAATCTAGTGCAGTGAACTTTTCTAGAATGTAATAGAAGTAAATCGTTACCTGCTTGGTGACGTCGAGGATCCCGGGAATATACTGTGATCTCCTTTAATTGGTCCACTGGTGATGTGTATGTTAGAAGCTGAGGATGCTTTCAGCGAAGACTTTAGGATACATTTATTCAAAAATTCCTGTGAATTACTGCCAGCGTTGAATCTGAAACAGAGATTTGTTGAGCCTAAAATAAAACACTTATTTAACAAATAAAGTATAAAATGGGTATCAACTTGCCTGCTATAACTAGACATTTGTGGAGAGTCATAATCAACAAAAATAGTACAGATGGAAAGACGACGTTTAGAAATAATTCCTGAAGACGAAAGACAGAAGTAAAAAAAAATACAACAACTAGGAATTTTTTTATCAGGCTAGAAGAAATGTGCATTGGCAAGAAAATACTGTTGGCATGAAAGCTTATTAGACAATGTTTTGTTCATCTGAGTGAATTTTATATTTTGGAAAGCATCCGATAGATGCCGCCACAATAAAGTTCTAGTTTATGGAATACGAGTGTTCCTGAAATGTGTAATTTTCATTGGGTAATAATACAAGAATAAAGTAGAGTTATTTTATTTTAACATTATTTTATTATGTTAAATTAACTAGGTATGTACGTAATATTAATGGATTCAATTATGCATTACTCAGGTTGAATTGATAGTGTTTTTTAATTTAATAATTGAGTTAAACTTCAGATTAACGACAATAACCATGTCCTTCTTACCAAACATACTGTTATGATCTCCCTAAGTTCGTTCGAAGCGTCGGAACTGGAAATGGAATTTTCAATTTGGACAATACTTTACGCGCACTTGGGCTAAACGGCCAGAACAGGGGCCCTTAAAATTCAGGTATAGCCGTTCAGAATTTTGAGCTACTGACCCTTAAAAATCAGGTATAGCCGTCCCTAATTTAGAGCTACTGACCAGACGGAGGAGTAACCAGACAGCAGCAATATTGTAATGGATTTATCCAGCTCCTTAAACTCAATAGCTGCAACGAATTTTGCTTCCTGCGGAGTGTATTCAGCGATAAGATGTTTGGAACTGCAGACTCGCAACCCGAAACGCTAACCTTTGGATTACGCTCGGCTCTTCCAAAGGCTTGCTAACTATAAATAATTACCAATCCATGTACAGAGGAAAGGTTCGTAGAAACCCTATAATCAGCAATAGAAATATTACCTCATTTTATTATTATATATATATATTAAACATTGTATTCCAAACTATATATTTATATATTATTGTACTGAAATATTTGACAACAACCAACTTTAATTTTTAAATTGTAAGATTAGTCGTGCTTTGTTAGAACGATTTTTTTGCGCCAATGCAATGGCTCCACGGGTGGAGTTATCATCACCCCCTAGAGGTATATAACAGTTGTTTCCGGAGACAAGTATTCATACAGCTTGATTGTTAAACTATCTACGAAAAATAGCAGAACACTTTGAACAAGGAACTTTCAATGTTCCCCAAAGTAAAAAAAAATTGCATGGCAGAACAACGCTCTCATCCGCAAAGTCAAAGCTATTGTTAAGAAAGAGAACCTTCCGACCCAAAAAAGATAGCAATGAAGTTGGGTATATTTTCCCGACACCTTTGGCAAGATGATAAACAATGATAGGAAGGTTCACAATTTTTCATCCACTCTTCAAAATCAATGGTTGTTTCAAGTTCCCTGATGTAACTCCAATAGAAATTGGCTCCTTTGTTCTACTTAAGCGTGATTTTGAAAGTAGATGACCTCGTAATGTGTCTGTGGATAGTTGTCAAGATGTGTGTCGGTCAACACCGTGTGATCATGGTCATCAAACTGAGCACCCATATAATAGAGGAAGTAGTTATAGAACCGCAGCATAAGACCTGGAACCTCGTTCAGTCTCACTGCTTACAACGCTGAAATTTAGATTTCGATACCCGCGGTGGGCAGAGCATAGTTAGCCCATTGTGTAGGTTTGTGATTAATAACGAACAAAGTGATTTTTTACACGTACCTAGGCTTTTTCTGACAGTAATCCTGACTATAGTCCGTCTCCGTGGAACAGGTGGATCCGATCCTTCCTTCCTTTCTACCAACAGCCACGATCCCAGAGTCGCCATCACTATCTTGTAGGTGGAATCCTACGATGAAGGATACAGAGTTAGGGTTAAGCTGAATGTTCGTGACCTTACTAGGAACGTCATTGTTCAGGTTGCACCAGTGAAGTTGAAATAGTTTGAAGATGACTTCAAAGCAGGTGAGTGTGACCAATATGTCCGATTAACTCCACAGTAAAGCATTTAATACGATACAAAGCTGATAATCAATAGACTTTACAAATACTTTAATTAACTTCATAATCGTGCAACATATTTTCTTACAAGAACAATTTTCAGAGTTATAAAAATTAAATGATTTTTAAGACGTTGTGTAACTTAATCTTCATGTAGAGAGTGGTTAGGATGATAACATATTAGAGATATTTTTATACTCCACACTTAACTAATTATTACAGTCCTAACGAACAAGAAACACCAGCGATGCTAGGACACTGAGTATACAAGAACAGGTAAGATCACTGTGAATCACGAGCAAGAAACACTAGCGATGCTAGGACACTGAGTATACAAGAACAGGTAAGACTACTGTAAATCACGAGCAAGAAACACTAGCGATGCTAGGACACTGAGTATACAAGAACAGGTAAGACTACTGTGAATCACGAGCAAGAAACAGTAGTGATGCTAGGACACTGAGTATACAAAAACAGGTAAGACTACCGTGAATCACGAGCAAGAAACACTAGCGTAGCTAGGACACTGAGTATACAAGAACAGGTAAGACTACTGTGAATCACGAGCAAGAAACACTAGCGATGCTAGGACACTGAGTATACAAGAACAGGTAAGACTACTGTGAATCACGAGCAAGAAACACTAGCGAGAAACGCTA